ACCATACTTTTTTGAATCTATTTTTAAAGAATTTTAATTTGTATTATTCACATTCATGTGTGTGTCTGTGTATAATGTACATTTACACCTGTGAATATATCATATACAAATGATGTATACAGATGGACAGCAAGACTGATTGATCGGCACATGAGTAATAGATACATACACAGAGAGACAAGTTCACAGTTGATTTTCAATCCTTATCGAAACACACAATGCACATATAGAGCACTGGCACTGTCCCCTTAGTGTGGCCCCGAGGAGTGCCTCCTGCAGCTCCCCTCCGGCGAAGCAGCAGACGAAGGGCGCCCTGAGGCGTTCCTCGCTCGAGCCCAAGTGGCGCCCGGCTCCTGCCTCTACGTGCCCCAGGCGTGGTGGGTGGTCTGAACTTTGCGATATTTGCTTGTGATCATTGTCGTAATTATCGCTGTTGTTGCATTTAATGTTATAGCATTAAGGTTAGTAGTAGTCGTAGTAGTAGTAGTAGTAATGATAACAATAATAACAATAGCAGTAGTAGTAGTAGTATTTGTTGTTGTTGTTGCTGAAGTAGCAGGAGTGGCAGTAATAGTAGGAGTGACAATAGCAGAAAAAAGAAAGGTCGCAATAACAGTTCTCCGTTCGTGTCACTAAGAATTCAAAGATTTCTTATTTCTTCACAAATCCGGTTGATGGCTAATACTAGAAACAAAGTTATAAATGAAATGGAGAAAGATGAGAACAAATAGAAAATCAGTCAATTGTATTTGAAGGTTATGTCGCTTTGCGTATCAAACAGGCATAGATTAAGTGGATGATTATTGTGAGTTGTAATGTATTTTTTTTGTACACACATACAAAAACACACACACACACACACACACACACACACACACACACACACACACACACACACACACACACACACACATACGTACACACACACTCCCACGCACCCACACACACGCCCTCAGGCAGTGGCAGGTGCGGGCGGAGGGAGACACGACCTTCCTCTGGCTCGCTTGGCAGGACGACCTCGTGCTCCGTGATGACGTCATCGCTGCTCTCTTCCCGCTGGATGACGACGACCAAGGCGGGGGGGGCGAGGGGGTCCAGGCCCAGGGGGGCGGTCTGCGGGGGGGAGGTAGGTGGCTGTGGTTCATGGCTTTGCTCTTGCTGTTACCATCGTCGTCGTCGTCATCGCCATCATCATCGTCATCACCATTACCATCATTATCATCATCGTCATCATCATCATCTTTATCATCATCTTTATCATCGTCCTTATCATAATCGTTAAACAATCAATGACATCATTATCATGGTTGCATTTTATTATTATTATTATTATTGTTGTTGTTATTATTATTACTAACGTTATGGTAATTTTTCATGACCACTTTGTAATAATCTTTATCATCGTTCTTTTGTGTTTTTATTACTTTGAATATCATTATAATTCCCATTATCGCTGTTTGCTATTATTACCATCATCAGCATTAGTATCAACATTTTTATATCAAGAAATAAATAGAAACTGCACCAGTACCATACATTTCCCAAACCCAGGACGGACGCCAAGGAAGGAACCCCACAGATCCTGCGACGCTGTGGGAGATCCTGCCCACAGACCCCCTCCCCCCCCTGGTCCTGTGGGGGGAGCAGGACCCCCTCCCCCACCTCCTTGGCCAGTACCTCCTCCCGGACCTCCACCTCAGCTTCGACGCCTTCTTCCGGCGCTTCCGGATCGTGGGTTGAGGCTTCAGGATGCCTTGGGGCGTTTCTGGATTCCTCTGGATTTGCCCGGATTCTTGTCTGTTCGTCTAGTTCTTCTGGATTCTTCCTAATTCTTGTCTGTTCGTCTAGTTCTTCTGGATTCTTCCTAATTCTTGTCTGTTCGTCTGGTTCTTCTGGATTCTTCTAATTCTTGTCTAAATTCTTCCTAATTCTTGTCTGTTCGTCTTTCTTCTGGATTCTTCCTAATTCTTGTCTGTTCGTCTGGTTCTTCTGGATTCTTCCTAATTCTTGTCTGTTCGTCTAGTTCTTCTGGATTCTTCCTAATTCTTGTCTGTTCGTCTAATTCTCCTAATTCTAGTTCTTCTCTTCTAATTCTAATTCTTCTAATTCTTGTCTGTTCGTCTAGTTCTTCTGGATTCTTCCTAATTCTTGTCTGTTCTTTCTGGATTCTTCCTAATCTTGTCTGTTCGTCTCTTCTGGATTCTTCCTAATTCTTGTCTGTTCGTCTGGTTCTTCTGGATTCTTCCTAATTCTTGTCTGTTCGTCTGGTTCTTCTGGATTCTTCTAATTCTTGTCTGTTCGTCTAGTTCTTCTGGATTCTTCCTAATTCTTGTCTGTTCGTCTAGCTCTTCTGGATTCTTTCTTGTCTGTTCGTCTAGCTCTTCTGGATTCTTCTAATTCTTGTCTGTTCGTCTGGTTCTTCTGGATTCTTCCTAATTCTTGTCTGTTCGTCTGTTCTTCTGGATTCCTAATTCTTGTCTGTTCGTCTAATTCTTCCTAA